ACGACTGCATCCCCTGCATGACTTAATTGGCATTTATACTCAGTGAATTACATACCAGAATCAAATTCAACCAGGATGTTGTCAGACTTCAGGTCTCTGTGGGCTATCCCGTGTCGAACAAGATGGTCCACCCCTTCCAAGAGCTGTAAAATCATCATCGTGGAGAGACAAACATCCAGACTGCTCTCCCTCAGATACTGGCGCAGGGTGCAGGGATAACTAGTCAGAACAAGGAGAAAACCTTGGAATTAGCATCCTGGAAGCTTATTGCTTGTGGTTCAACCTCTGTGCTGTGGGGCTGGGGACACTGCACACTCGTGTGTGCCAAGTTCTTCCTGACCTCCACGATGCTTTCCCACCTCCCAGCCTCAACCTGACACCACTCCCCTGTCTGCTGTTCTCAAATCCTCTGTTTTGCAACAACACCCACCAAATTTTCAGTGTTCTCACCTGAGTTCAACAACTGTGAAGAAAATAAACCTCTTACACAGAACAGCGAGGGGCTGCAGGAATACAGTGGTCATTCTTAGAGGTTTTCATGCACCAGGGTTATATTTTGGGTGAAAGACGAGGCAAATTAATCACGCAGATTGTAAAAGCAAAATGAGATGTGCTAATCAGGAGAAAAAACGTATTCTTGAAATACAGAGAGGACAGAGAACTTCTCCAGACGTGGGCAGAACAAAAGAGTGGAGAAAAAAGAAGGTGTGTTTATGTCAGCATCACAGCAATACCCATTCCAAACAAAAACCCAACTGAAATGCTGAGCACTAATAAATCTCATTACACATTCTACTCTGTCTCCAGCCGCATGTTCAGACTGAGAAGAGCAGACAAATGGGAACAAGCTTCACATTTTTTACTGTAACGTGGGGTAATTATTAAACAGAACGGCTTGTCTTCCTTGTCAAACAAGAGTTAAAATCTCAAGGACTTGGAACAGGTCTTAGGAGACGTTTCCAAGAGCGTACTCTGCTTTTTGGCAGCAGTCAAGGCCAAATCTTTGCAAGGACCCGTGTAGCAGCAGAATACAGGCCTACAAGGAAGCTGGGGAAGGACTTTTCATGAGGGCAGTTAATGACAGAACAAGGGGAAATGGGTTTAAGCTGAAAGAGGGGAGGTTTAGATGAGATATTAGGAAGAAGTTCTTCACTGTGAGGGTGGTCAGACACTGGAACAGGTTGCCCAAGGAAGCTGTGGCTGCTCCTCCCTGGAAGTGTTCTCGGCCAGGCTGGATGAGGCTTTGAGCAACCTGGTCTAGTGGAAGGTGTCCCTGCTGCTGGCAGGGGGGTTGGGACTGGATGAGCTTTAAGGTCCCTTCCAACCCAAACCACTCTATGATTCTATAATACGGAGCCCCGCTGGGCAGTGTCACAAAAAGCCTGAGCCACATCACAAGCTTCTCTCTACCTACTTCTTCATCACCAGGAAGAAAAGTGACCAATCCCTCTGGGATTCAGGCTTAATGGAAGAACGTCGGGATAGTCTGTGAAAGCTCCAGGCAGCAAAGGGACAGAGGATGTGAACGCTCGGATCACCTGGATTATATTCGGATGAGGCTGCAACTTCTTCTTGCCAAGGATGGGTTTTCTGCACAAAAGTAGAGATACCACAGTTTACATCGATCTCCTGGTCTGTTCTGATTTATCACAGACACATCTCTGTTATTTCTGAAATTACTTTTCACTAATAGGGCCCACCCTCCCCATCAAAGAGCTCCAAAGCAGCGTGCTCAGGCATTTATTCCCCAGTGAAAACCTTCTTACAGAGAGCATCGAGGCTGCCCAGTACAGATTACAGGACTGCCCATTAAGCAAATGTTCAAACATTCACATCCTGGGAACCATTTGGTTTGAAAGAACAGGGAGATCAACCTCCTGCCCTCACGGCTGATTTCCTAACCGACGCCTCAGCCCAGCGTTTCCCACATGGATGTGGAGCACCCACAGCCTGAGCAGATGCACTGCAGCAGCAGGCAGGTCCCAGCACCTTCTCTGGAGTTCAAAATCTCCCTTGGTGCTTCCCACAACAAAGTGAACTATCCTCAAGGCAGAGCTGTCTGCTGATACACCGGCGGAGCGTACACAAACCGAGACTGCACCTGTGGCTGTCAGAAGGGCTCTGTTGTAACTGGATTTCCCTATGTACAATGGTCAAACAGGAAATACTGGTGCTTTACCAGCGCACCAAATGAAGCTTGGCTGGAAATCCTCACACTTAACATGTAGCCTTTCATTTTATTCAGACCCTACTAGCCCTTCCACGCTGCTAACAAAGACAGAGCTACTCACAGGCTGCTTCTCAGTTCAAAAAGAACTACAACAGCAGCTTTAGAGGAAAAAAAAACAACAAACACAATTACTTTGTTAGACATAAAATAAAGGTCAACTTCACACTGGGCATATCGATTGAGACCCTCTATTTTATGGCACAGGCAGGAAACAGTCACTGCAATGAAAGGCAGGTTACCTAGCTGTGTCTGCAGAACAGAGCGCTCTCCCTGCTCGTCCCCTGAATGTCAACTACCCCTTTGGCTGCTCCGTTGCATTCTCAGCTAGTGACGTACCACACAGCATTCATTATTCATTTGTATTAACAGCTGAGATGTATTTGAAATTTAAATCAGACAATCTGGACTGTGGGCTCCATTGTTCCAAATCCAACAAAAAGAGAAAATTTTTAACAAAAAGATCACAAACTCTGGGGAATTTAAAAGTTTCTGTGTGATTTGCCACCCTCACGCTGTTGCTCACTTCTCACTGGGGTGAAAGAGGGAGAACCAAGTCATTTTCCATTTTCTTTCTCACCAGCTTCCCTGAACTAGACCAGTTTCCACTTCCCTGCCCAGCACCCATTTTACAACCAAACCAGTTCTAAAACAGTACAAATCAAAACTGTATTACAGTCAAATTGTTTGTTGTTTAATACAGTCAAATTGTTACCGACTGGAGGTGTATATTTCTTTTTAATTAAAAAGCACCTTGATGCACATTTAAATTATGTCTAATCATAATTAGCTCCTCCCAGCTTTAACTCTGCAGATATCAACGCATTTTACACAGGGGGAAAATAAGGCACAGGGCACAGAAGTGCCTGGCCAGTCACCCATAAGACTGCTGGCAGGACCCCAACTGGTCCCCAGTTATCGGCGTACCCTTCCAACACCCTCCTGGACTTTGCCATCCAGGTTCACCCACAGGGATTCCCCGCACGCCAACAAGCTGAATCCTGCTCCACTGAGGAAACAAGACTGTGTTGAATCGCTGTTTGAACACCAGCATTGCTCTGCATTTTCCTAACCACGCTGGAAAAAAAGCACATCAGAGAAAAATCCCCAAGGCAGCCAGCGACCCATCCCTGCGCGACGTCTGAGGTGTGCGGCGCTTCTGAAGGCACCGTCGTTTAGACAAACCACAGGCACAGGCCTCCTGAGTCATTCATAATCCCAAAGCTTCCTTTTTATCTGCTGTCAACAACTAGTACAGAAACCTCTGGCCATCTTCTTAACATCAAAATCACAGAATCACAGGATGTCAGGGAT